TATAGCTACTTATGATCATACTTTTTGCCTTACATACCTATAAAAAAAATATTCGTACTGACGCCCTATTGCTTCGGGTCATTGTATGTCGTGTGCTGGTTCAAACAGAGGTTTTGATTGGCCTTTGGAATGGGGGTGTTGTCTCAGCTAAGGATTGGTAAGCTCCATTCTTCTTGGAGTTGTTGGTTGTCTGTACATTTTCCAGACATGAGTTTTGTATATAGTCGAAATATTCATAGAGACTTGTGGGCATATCATGTTGGGTCTTCTCCAGCTTCGAACTATAGCCTTGTCGACTTATTGTATTTATGATTTCAGTTGCAGCATTGTTGTCTTGCTAGTTCATTATTAGTTAAGTTGACCTTATCGTCCCTTTCTGCATGTCATTGATATTGGTGTGACCTTGATAGTCTATTTTTGTTGTTTCAGCTTTTGGCTATGATGGCCTTGTCGGCCCTTATTGTTTCCTTTTTAATATGTTTCAGTGGCTAGCTTGGCCGAATAAGGTACCGGGTGCCCGTTGCACCTCTCCTAGTTTGCTGCGTGAAAAACTTGGTATCAAAGTAGGTCATGTCCCAGGGAGTCCACAAGTCGTGTCTGGTAGAGTTTTTCTTATGCGTGTGTTATGCACCACATTTATAATCAGGAGGCTACGAGACATTTAGATATAGTTACTATTATTTTATTAATTAGATCGTGCGTTAGAGCTAAGTCTTAGGATGTTACTTCTAAATTTGTGCTTAAATGTCGTATAAATTTCTTCTACTAAAGAAGACCTTATATTAGGCCAAAATGCCAAATGCTAGTTTATCCAAGGATTCAATTTCTAGTTTATAATTTGTAGTCACTTGGTCTTCGAATATTCTAACTTGATAGTGAATTATGATAGTCCTTCTATAAGTACTTAAGGACTGTAGTAAGTATTTCCAATTGTTTTATAAGAATATATATCTAAGTATTTATCTTAATATGTTTTTTTGTAATGTTAAAAAGAGATTATTATGCGATTGAAGGTTAGAGTCAAATAATATTCAGGATATAGATATCAGTTAAATACTTAGAGTAACATATTCTTGGGGGAGCAAGTGGTGCTTTCGAAATATAGAAGAATGTTACATAAATCAGTTGAATTACTTGTGTGTGTGTATATATATATATGTGTGTGTGGGTGTGTGTTACATTAGTACTAGTTGTTTATTTAACTAAGTTACAAGTTCATATGTGCTTCTGTTATCGTTTACTTATTTATAGGATTATGTGTGTTACACGCCTTATATGTTAACTATTATTATCACTTGGTTCATATGCTTTTAGTTACTAGTTTCACAGCACGTGTGTTGCACGTGTGTATCGTATCATATACTATACGATGTTGTAAAATGGAATTAGTATTACTAAATTGAAGCATTTTAGTAAATGATTATAGTTGAAAGAACATAGAAAAGTAATTTTAAATAAATATTACATATTTTCATAGAGTTACTTGTCTTTTGAGATCAAAATGACCAAATATCATTGATGCATTTCAAAATACATTCAAAGTTTAAATATTGGAAGAAAGTGACATTTCTTTAGTAGTACTATGTTTTACTTCACTCAATTTTGTAAACAAATTTAACCAACATAATAGGAAAAAAATATATCAATATAAAAAAAGGTCACCAATAGTCTTTCCTTTTAAGGTTATGACCGTAAATTATGGATCCCGTTTAAGTACCATTTTTCTCTTAAATATTCATGTTTGAAATTTAGTATGTGCATAACCATTACCATAAATATTTCAATATTTTATCTTTATACGTAATATATATTTTTTAGAAAATATTTTTGCTCAAATAATATTTGAGTAAGGGTATGATAGAGAGGTAATGTTAAATGCAATAATGCATATATTTATTTCAATTTGATGAGCTTCAATTATGTAATTAGTCGTATCTCAGTAATATTACCTTATAGACGATATTTGTTGTGTATTTTTCTGTCATCTAACTAGATGTGCTTTGCACGTGTATTCCACGTTAAACTATTTAGATATCATATGAACATGTGAAGAGAACAACTACATTTTATTTTTAGAACTAATCTTTGTATATTAATTTTTATTTTATAGGTTATAACATAATAGATGACATTCTTTTTGTTGGCTCTCATATTTGACTTCTCGATTGACTGTATACATAAATCAAAGATAGTTATTTGGTTGTCTGTAGTTAATTGAGAAAGGTTTCCTTTTTTTATCGGAAAAACTAAAAATTAAAATTAAATAATATATTCTATCTCTGAAATCATATATATGACATGTTTATCTTACACCCAACAAAAATGTAGTTCATATACTTGTAAACGATTTTCAATTTTTCAATCAAGCATGATTCATCCAAGGAAAAATAACAACATCATTTTATCACATATATAGGGGCATTGTAATAATATGAAAACATATGAAAAATTATTGGCCAAAAGTTAATACAAGAAAAGATGAAAGATAGAAATAATTAATGTAATAACTATGAGAATTCAGAATATTATAACTAAAGAATGTTAAAGAGTGTGAATAACATTTACAATAATTACTAATAACTAAGAGAATTTATAATGTTATAACTAAAGGATTAATGTACAATAGATGTATTTTTAATAAATGTTATACTTACATAAATAAATAGGACTTTTAATTAATGTTACTATTTTTTCATATATTTATTAGATTTTAATTTAGCGTAGGGACAAAATGAAAATGTTTATTCCATATTACTAAATATAAAATTTATTCTGTAATTGATAAATTTTTAAATGATTCATAATATATTCACATATTTTCACTCTTGAGAAGTTTAATAATTTTGGAAAAAGATTTTCAGAAGCATATATTTACATCACAAGAGAAATTGTTAACAAAAATAAATGAATTTACACTTCAAGCTAACTTCATATATTGGAACATTACATACCAATGTATATATTTAGTAAAAACTAATTATTATATCATCAAAATTAATTTCCTCAAGTACTCGAGGTTATGGAATATACCCTCTTAGGATAGAATGATTTACTTCATCAGAATAGTGGTAGCTCATATTCGCTAAACTTCGAACTCACTCAACGACAATAAATCACACAAAAAAATTGTAAATGCAAGAAGAACAGTAGGAGATTAAAAAAAATTATGTTTGAAAAATGAGAGGAAGCTCCTCTATTTATAGTCAA